CTGAGCCTATTGTGACTATAACAAGTGGTATCAGAGCCCCTTGGAGCCGTCTTGACCATGCCTAGACCTGAGGAAGGGGGTGGCAGAGATGCTGGAGGCAGAGATGACGCCCAAGCACAAGGTCAACACCAAGATCCACCCATTGCTCCCATGCAACCTAGCCTTGGCCCCTCTAGGGATGAACCTAGAGTGTTTGGACTTGACAAGTTCAACGGTGACAACTTTGCTGAGTGGTCCTTCAAGATGGAGAACATCTTTGACCACTATGATCTGCTGGAGGTGATGGAAGGAACGGAGAAGCGCCCCGAGAACGACCCGGAGAAGAGCCCGTGGGTGCGGAAGAGCGCACAAGGCTACCTTCTACTTGGGCAAGCGTTGGGGAGCAGCCAAATCCGTCACATCAAGCCTTTTCAGCGTGAACCAGCAAAGGGACCAAAGGCATGGGCTGCTCTCAAGGGTGTACACGCTCCTGCAACAGCGGCGGTGGCTGTGGTTTTGGAGCGGCAAATGGCGGCACTTCGAATTGACGAAGGCAAACCGGTGGAGGAAGGAGTGCAGAAATTCTTCGACTTGTTGACACGGCTCGAAGGAGCTGATCTGAACTACAATGACCTTCAAAAGAAGACCAAGCTGCTGGCCTTGCTTCCGGACTCGTGGTCCTCGCTCATCATCAACCTAAATCGAGATCTGCCCCGCCTCTCGCTCGAAGATGTGAAGCGGGAAATCTTACAAGAAGATTTCCGCCGTCGTGAATTGGCGGGTACCGATGGTGCCGGAGTTGCAAGCATGGGCCGTGGGCACGGCCGTGGAAGGGGCAGAGGGCGAGGAGGCGGATTTGGCAGCGGTAACTTCAATGGAGGCCGTGGTAATGGAGGATATGGCAGCAACAACAACAATGGCTACGGGCGTGGGCGCGGTCGGTTTGATGGCGAATGCCACTTTTGCCACAAGACCGGCCACATGTGGAGAGATTGCTTCAGATTGCCTGATGGATGAACCCCTTCTCAAGGCCAAGAGGGCAGAGGAGCAAGGGGAGGAAGAGGCAGAGGTCGTGGAGGCCGTGGTGGTCGTGGAAGCCAAGCGGCATGCATGAAAGGTGGAGACTACGAGACGGGCCCGAGTGAAGATCGATACCCGGGCCAATTCTTCTTTGTCTCCACGCACGCGGCAGCTGCAGCAGGAGGTGTGGAAGGCTTTGAGGAGCCAGCTACTATGGGAAAGGTCACTCTTCACTCTCTGGACTTTTGGGTGATCGATAGCGGCGCCACCTATAGCATGACACCTCGTGCGGACTTGCTCACCGAACTTGAACCGTCGCCGGTCAAGCATGTTACATCGGCTTTGGGGCAGCGAGCAGAGGTGAAGGGCATGGGCAAGGCCATGTTCAAGGGTGCTGATGGGAAGATGGTGGGCCTCAAGAACATGCTTTTGGTGCCCAACCTAGCAGCCAACCTGATTTCCGTTCGGCGTTTGCAAAAGGCCGGCATGGACACATCTTCCAAGGGATCCAAAACCTATACCGCAAGGCTTGGTGAGCGGAAGCTTTGGGACCTTCATGAGGACAGGGACATCTAAAATGAGATGTGGCAAATCCCAGTGGTCCCCATGCCTAAAGAGAGGCAAGTGGCAGCAAGCGTCAGCACCGAGCGTGAAGCGGTTGGTGGCGGTGATCACGGAAAGCAAAGTGACACCAAGAGTGACTCGAAGGAGTGCAACCTTGGAGAGACCAGCAAGGCGTGTGAACCCAAGGAGAATGGTGCAGCAGCCAAAGGTGGTGGAAATGAGGAGGAGAAGGCTAAGATCAACAAAGCAGCAGCGGCGAAGGAGAAAGGAGAGAGCTTGTGGGGCACAATTGCGAGTGCCGCTTTCTCCAACCCGACTTCCGCTACGGGAGAGTGTGATTGGCTGACCTTGCATCGGCGAATGGGGCATGTGGCATTGCCCATTTTGCAGCAGATTGTTAAGCAAGAGATGGTCAGTGGGATACGTGTCAAGGGGGAGCCCAATGAGGTGCTTGGCTGTCCAACATGCATGCAAGCCAAGTTCACCCGCTAGGAAATCAAGGTGATTTTTGAGTATTACCCTGATTTCTACGCATCCAGATTTGAAGTACACGTCCACTAGCAGACTAGGCAACAATATTCCGCGTCCGATTTCCGAGTAGTGGAATGTATCGCCCTGTATCATCCGTCTGTAAGGCCGGGTTACCCAGCTAGAAACCCCTCTTCTCCGTTGAGGGGGGGATTCGGGCAAAACCGCTCCCGAAATCCCAAGTGGCCCGTTTGGGTTATCGGCAAGCGCGCCAGACCCTGATTGGATGTTGCAGCTTCCCCAACCAAGCCTCTCAAACTCAAACTCGTTACCCCCAACCAAGCCTGTTATGAATGGGACTGCCGAGTAGCACGGAGGGCAATGGCGAAACAGTGAACGAATGAATGACAATAAAATGAAAAACAATACAATATATAGAAAGCCTAGGGTGATCCTGGACATAGGATCTGAAGGTTCCGGAAAAGTGTCGAAGGGCCTCAATGTGTCGTAGCGAGGTCTGGAAAGGCCCAGGAGGCTCGAACTGAAAGGTCTGGAACCCTGGCGATGGTTGGGGACTGTTTGAGTCGTACAGCGTGTAGCAAGCCTCAGTAAGGTATTACTCATTCCTTACAAAGCCTCTCTGAACCAAACTCATTTCCCCCAACCGAGCCCCTCTCAGCCAAACTCGCCCTGAGGGCGGGTCCAAATAATTCATACTCTATTCATTTCGTGAAAAGTAACTCGATTCTAACCTCGTTTTGTTTTCGCGGGGACACGTGCGCGACATTGACGTAACTCGGGACGTTACGATATGTTTACGATTCGGTGACGTTAGGTTTACGTTTTGGTGAGGTTAGGTTTACGTTTTTGGTATCGGTGGACAGGTGTGGCGCCTTGGGGTTTCGCCAAGCCAGGCTTGGCGAGAACAAAGCAACCTCGCGAACATCTCGCGTGGCGCAACGCCAAATCACACCTGCCACTTAACTGTAAGGAATTAGGGATTCCTTACTAAGGCTTGCTACAGGGCGTACGACTCGAACAGTCCCGAACCATCGCCAGGGTTCCAGACCTATCAGTTCGAGCCTCCTGGGCCTTTTCGGACCTCGCTACGACACATCGAGGCCCTTCGATACTTTTCCCGAACCTTCCGATCCTACGTCCAGGATCACCCTAGGCTTTCTATATATTGTGTGTTCTTTCATTTTATTGTCATTCACTCGTTCACAGTTTCGCCATTGCCCTCCGCGCTACTCGGCAGTCCCATTCATAACACTTGGTATTCAGAGCCACTTTTCTCACCCGCTGGGCTTCTGAGGGCAAATTTTTTTTTTTGGGAGGGGGAGAAGGCGGATGGCGCTACAGAAGGCACAGCGGTTGTCCTGAAGCATGATATGATATGCTTGAACAACTGCGTCTGCGTGGGCTTCTAACGACCGTCGATCCGACCCCAATAGACGAGCAGGATTTGCTCGGCCATCCCCTCGAAGGGCGGTTGTCTCCGTCCTGACATGGCGAAGATTTTGAAGAGTGTTTCCGGTATGTTGTGTATTTCGCATATCGTTAAAAGGGGTTTCGGCTGCAGTTTCGGTAATTTCGGCAAGCAGCAACGACGATTCGGATTGGGGTCCGAATGGAGCGAGGAGCTCGTCACGAGACGACATGCTTGCGGATATCCCCAGGCGAAATGGGTTTCGTCAGGAGCGCACATAGCAGACGTGGCTGCATGGTGAAGTGTAGCTGACGTTACGAGGCTCGGCGTTTCCGGCAGGCGACACGCAGGTGAGGACGGGACTTCGGATAATGTTCAGCAAACACGGCGTTGGAGTTTTCGGCACGACCAAGGATCGCACAGCAGCACACGTGGGGCTCAGGCACGGAAAAGTTTTGGGGAGTACTGACCTCGAAATTGTTTCGCGTGACCTGCCCGCCTGTGGACCAATCCGCACATGCTTCACAAGCCTCTGTGGACAGCTCGGTAGAGGTACGGCTTTACACGCCTAGGCCTCTTAAAAGAAGTTACGACTGAGGGCTTTTTTTTTGTACTATTCCTTATAGTGCAAATTTCCCTGCCAAACAAATAAGGTGCAAATTTCCTTATACGGCAGCGACATGGCTGAAAGGGCATGGAAGGGCATGGCAGGGCATGGCATGGCATGGCAGGGCATGGCATGGCATGGCATGGCAGGGCATGGTAGCGGCATGGCATGGCAGCGGCATGGCAGGGCGAGGCGTACAGCGCGGTGAGGTTGACAAGGTTACTGATGGAGTCGGGAATGGGCCCTTGCAGATTCTCCTCCGCTATATACCTGCACACACCACCACAACCGCAATGACACAAGACGCGGAAAACATCAAGCACAAAAAGACGGCGATGTTCAACCCAGTGGACGACATCACGGCCGACCTGGCCATCTGACACCGGGACTCCGGTGCGGTGTGGATCTGTGATGTCACTATCACCGACCCCATCAGCACCCGCGACCCCACGGCCCGCAAGGGCAGAGGATACATGGCACGGGAGCAGGCGGGGAAAAAGATGCACCACTACCGCAACCGCGTGGCCTACGTGGGCCTGTTCCCCCTGGCAGTCGAAACCTACTGCTGCCCATGCGACGAGGTCCCCCAGTTCCTGAAGCTCCTGGCCCACACTGCCGCTAGGAGGCTCTTCAACGCGGACCCTACCTCATACCAGGCAGCGCGACTGCTCCAGCAGTTCCACCAGCGCTGGTCGGTCACCCTGTAGCGCGCCCAAGCTATTGCCTACCTGGAGAAGGTACATGAGGCGGCGCTGGCAGACAACCCCCCCGTGGGCTGCCCCGGGGCCAATTTCTTCCTAGGGGATTGTTTTGCCATTCTAGAGCCCCTGGCCGAGCCACCTTAGTGGGCTCCATCGGGGGGGAGAGGGGTACAGGGATCGAGCTTGTGTAACTTTCCTTCTGTCTCGGTTGTACCCAGGTTCCATCTAATACACGGACCGCTTGAGAGAGAGAGAGAGAGAGAGAGCTAGAGAGAGAGAGAGAGAGAGAGAGAGAGAGAGAGAGAGAGAGAGAGAGAGAGAGGGAGAGAGAGAGAGAGAGAGAGAGATAGAGAGAGAGAGAGAGAGAGAGAGAGAGAGAGAGAGAGAGAGAGAGAGAGAGAGAGAGAGAGAGAGAGAGAGACAGGGGCCGAGGTCCCTATCTTCCTGAAGTTGCTGGCTGACACAGGGGCCAGGAGACTCTTCAATGCCGACCCAAGTTCCTACCAGGCAGCGAAACTGCTCCACCAGTTTCGCCAACGCTGGTCAGTGACGCTGCAGCGGGCGCAGGCCTTGGCTTACCTGGGCAAAGTAAATGAAGCCTCCCCCGCCACCCACGCCCCAGTAGGCACCCCCGATGCCGATATGGCACTAGGGGACTGCTTTGCCATAGCAGAGCCCCTAGGGGAGAACGAGTAGATCCGAGCCCCCAAAACATGCACGTACCTTGACTTGCTACCCCTTGCCTGCCTAGCCTGTACCAAGGTTTTCCAAGCAATAAACGGACCACTTGAGAGAGAGAGAGAGAGAGAGAGAGAGAGATAGAGAGAGAGAGAGAGAGAGAGAGAGAGAGAGAGAGAGAGAGAGAGAGAGAGAGAGAGAGAGAGAGAGAGAGAGAGAGAGAGAGAGATTGGAGGGAGAGGCAGGGGGACGTAGAAGCCAACGAACAGGCCCGAGGAAGTGGAGACGAAGAAAGGGGGTGCAAGGAGAAAGGAAGGGCAAGAAGAAAAGAGAGGTAGGAGGAAGGAGGACAGAAGGAACGAGGGGCAGGAGGGAGAATTAGGAGGTGGAGAAGGGAAGGGGAATGGGCCCACAACCAGTCTTCTTTTTTGCCTCTACTATAGTTGACGACAAGCAAGCGGTCGCATGAACTGCACTCGAGAGTAAAGTGATTCTCACCGCCTAAAGCCAAACGGCCATATAGGATACTGCTAATCGGGCACGTTTCCCCTGCTAACCGGTCATAAACAAGTACTGAAGAGAGGCCCTTTACTGTGGCACAGTGTTGGCAGGACAAGTCCGACTCAACCGGCTAAAACCATCAAACTTATTTCAAGAACGATTTTACTTGCTACAGCTTCGGACTAGCAAAACAAGACAAATCTGAGTCTCAAACTTATCTCCACTCATTGACAAGAGCTCGGGCCCTCGTCAGCGACTTATTTGATCGGAGCTCGCCATAGTTGTGGAGTCGAGTAGAGAGCGGCGTCTAATGGCGTGCTAAACGCACCTTGTGAGGCTTCGTATGTCACAGAAAGGACGGGGGAAACCTCTACGAGAATCGTCAGCACGAACAGCGCGCCGAGCCAAAGGCTTCCCGCGCCGTCCGCGCTCATGGCGAAAGGGCGTCGCATGGCGACCGCGCTTCCACGCGACGGGAACGAAAGCCCAGCCACGATTCTTTCCACGGTGGAGCGGCGATGCTGCAGCGTTGACGTCTTGGAGACGGCGGCGATAGTTGATAGATTTCTACTTTTATTAAACAAAGTCTTCACACGTTCAGCGGATTACCGTCACTGACTGAATGCGAGCAAGAAGTGGGGCGACGAGAGAATCTGGCGAGAAGAGCTGATGATTCTACTAAAAGCTGGGCAAGAAAGTGTTTTCACGGACACTAGAAACAGATGATGGAGCGCAAATGGGGGAGAAAAGGGTGCAAAATGGAGCTTGAACCTCCTCCCAAGAATGTTGCCACGCAGGCGGGGTGCGCGACGACAGCACTGAAGCGAATCTAGCGACGGCGAAACTGTTACGAACTCCGAATCAACCTCCAGAGAGCACAGTTTGGAGACTTGCGACACTTTCGTCGAGTCGCCCTAGTCCAGCTGTCGTCGTCGACGAAATCCGAAGTGACATGAGCTCAACAGGGCATGGAATGGAATGTCAGCAATGCAGTGCTGGCGAATCCGGGGAATTGCAGACTGTGTTGACGAACACCGACCCTATGGGATCCACTCGCCATAATGAAAGTGAACGAAGCATAAAAACCTCTGTACAGCTATGAGTAGTCCTTCACTATCTTAAAACCCGCAGCCCAAATTGTTCAAACGCGAATCGTATGAACTTTGGCGGGAAAGTACATCCGCGCTCAGTATTAGGGTCCCCGCTATTACATACGGTCAGTGGAACGCTATAGACAATCAGAATTAGTGAGTTCGTCACACGACTAGTCAGTCGGGTTCCACGTTTAGTCAGTGACTGCTGGTAAACATTTCCACGAATGGTCAGTGAACGAAACCCCCCCCCATTTTGGGCAGTTTTCCCGCTCGCGGCAGCCCAACAACCAACCGAGTGTAATAATTGCGAGGGGAGAGATTTTTTTCATGCCAGCCTGGCGCTGTACATTTCGCCCTCGCTCCAACCCTCGGTACTGTACATTTCGCCCTCGTCCAACGCTTGGCACTGTACATTTCGCCCTCACTCCAATGCTTGGTACTGTACATTTCGCCCTCACTCCAATGCTTGCTACTGCCATGCTTTGCCCCCACCATTCGGGGTGGCATATCATTGGTACTCTCACGCGGACAATCAGCCACACTCTCACGTGGACCATCAGCCGCACTCTCACGCGGACAATCAGCCGCACTCTCACGCGGACAATTAGTCGGGCTATCACTTGAACAGGAGAGATGGAGCACTAGGTAGTTAGCTCACAAATCAATAATCGTGCTGTCTGAACCGCATTCAATATTTGGCACATCAATGCAGTCCCTGCCCGAGGTGTCAGACCAGCCCGCAATCGCGTTGTGCCATGCCGCCTGGCACTCTTTCAGGAATTGCGCTGCACGGAGAGGGAGAAAGAGGGGGAAGAGGGGGACAGAGGGAGAAAGTGGGGGAAAGAGGGGGGCATAGGGAGAAAGAGGGAGAAAGAGGGGGAAAAGGGGAGAAGCGGGGAACGAGGGAAGACAGCTTGGCAATAACGATCATGTGGGTGTGGATCCCACGCTCCACCCTGCTTATCTTCATCCTTCATCCACTAGTAAGCCGAATGAGAATGCATGGCAGCAAATGTGATGTATTTGAGCATAAAGCCGGGGTGATCGGAAGCTCGGTTAGGTCATTGGGGTTTGGTTCGAATGCTGATGCTGTGAAGCCCAATTATATGAGTCATGAGTCATCTAACACTGCGCGAAGCCAACCAGCGAAGTAAGGTCACTGCAAGTGACAATTCACCTGCTATGGCTTAGGTCTAGAGCCTAGGGGCTCATTCGTGACTCATTTGATACGAGCTAGGATAGATAAATTGTGATGTGGGAGTTGGCTTGGCTGATAATAATGACAACGACGATGACGACGACGACGATGACGATGGCGGCGGCGGTGACAATGGTGACTACTATGACGATGATTATGACAACAATGATTGCGACAATGATGAAGGCGCACATTGGAAAGGCTGGAGCACCGCGCCTTCCACCCCGGGCATCATAGTGATGGTGGTTCTACCACTAGTAGCACTAGCAATGATCACGGCGAGCAGCAGCCATGCCAGCGCCGCTGCCGCCACTGCGTGCTGTCGCAGCCTCCGACTCCGAGGTTGTTCGCCGTTCAGCGGACTCCGACTCCGCCGTTCGGTGACCAACATCGACATGGACAGACAAGATGATGATGATAATGTCCGACATGGACACCGAATCACCAAAGAGTCACCGGACGAGAGACGTCGCCGTGGCAAAAGCGTATACGAAGAAACTAGTACTACTAGTACTAGTCATAATACTACTACTTCTTGAGCTTAGTAGTAAGCAGGCGGCGGTCTTGTGCTCCACAGACTGAAGGTGCGCCACGAAGCGGACTATCAAGGATCCCCAGGCCGCCGCGCAAGCAGTGCTCCACCTAGTAGGGCTTCGGACTGACAGTCTCTATTAGTGCCACGTCATACTGGCACCGCACGTTTTTAGACACATGTCAAAGGACTTGAAGGCTAACGGCATCCGCATGCGGTGACCGTTCAAGCGTCATACACCGAGCCTTGTTCGTATATACACTCTGATTGACTCCTCGCACTGCACCGTCCCCAGAGCGGAATGTCAGGTGCTTACCAGGGGAGACGGTTCGACGCCGCTCAGCCTAAGCACGTGAGGGTGAAGTGACCGATCATGATTGCCGAGTGACGTGAACACTGCCTGCCGAGGGAGCAGAGTGAAAACGAGATGGCTCTCGTCGGCAGCACCCATGGTAGTGGCCATCAGGCATCTTGCTAACAAGGTAAGTACCCTTATGTCACAAAATTAAGAGGTAAAGTTCCATCGATTCTGTTTTTTTTACGGTGCATTTTTACCCCAAATCCATCCAACTAACGGAAAAGAAATCGCGCGATTCCTTTGCCTAGTGAGTACCTTTTTTTTGAATCCATACGGGCTATACTTGTAGTAGGGATTTCTCTAGGGATTAGCGCTCCCCATCCCCACCCCACCACCCCCGCCAACCCCCCTTGATTCCTTGTCAGCCGAATTTGTAGCGGCCGATTCCTTCTGGTAACGGATTTTTTTTTATTCCGTCTGTTAAAGCCCCCCTCGCTTTAACGGGTTTATCCAGAGGCAATTCCGTCCCCTTCCGGAACACCCTGGGGCTTAGCGAGAGGCCTGGTGGCCATGAAGTCAGATGTGGTGGTCGGTGGGATTGATCGAACGAATCCTGCCGGGTAGGCGTGCAGGTTCAATTACATGAACAGTAATGTACACCTCTCGTTTTGGATTGGACACGGCCAATGCTGCTCGGGCCTCCGAGGTGTTGAGACAAAGGGAGGACGGCACAGCTTTTTTAGAACGAGGAATAAATGCAGGTTCAAAATATAAAAGCCGACGTCGGATTCAGTAAGTTACTGTACAGTATTTTCAACCCGGCTCAAAAGACGGAGTGCCATACACCAAGGGTCCTCCATACGCCCGCAAATTGACCGGGCCCACCCCACAACCTGCGCACATTCGTAACCATTTACGGGCAACAGCCGTT